AATTTAAAAAGTGCATAATGTGAGTCGTAGGAAACTTGAATCCATTGTTCACATGATTTAAGAGTAACAATATCCTAGCAATTATATAGGAATGGAGGATAAAGGTACAGTTATTTTATTGAACCATCATACCAACTAAATTTAGGCCCCCGTTTGATTCCCATTAAATTCAATTACATTACATTCCATTTTCTCTCTCCTATTTTCAACCACACAATCTTCCATAAAATAATATTACACGTAAATCGAAAACTTTTTTTCTTTTTCAACCACTCATTTTTTTAAAAAATACTATTCCCCTCATTTTCATTTTCAGAAAATGGGGACCAAACGGGGGCTAGATGAGATTGGACTTTGTGGTTGGATAGTAAATGACCATAATTGCTTCCTCCCTTCAAGTTGATTATAAACAGCATGTTGTCATTGTCAGTTACACATAAAGTACTTCATGAGCATTGAGAGACTTTCAAGTTCTCACATACACAAACTGTTTCATCAATTGCATTACGTCGACATAATGAGTTCGTCCACAGGAAGCAACGAAATGTTTAAGCTGATCGAGCCTTTGGTAGTTCTTGGTTCATCACTGTTATTTCTAATCTACATTTCTGTAATAATACTATTTAATATTAGCGTTGTTTATCATTTATGCATCAATTAAGTCTACTATTTACAATTTACAAACTACAATTTAGTTGGTGGGGATTAAAATTATCATTTTGAGCAGATTGTGATAGAAGGTTTTGAAACAGTAGGTTAAATTATTTTGAACAAGCATATAGTTGGAGGGTCTTTTATACGTTTTCAAAGAATCAGCAATTTAAATGTTTCGACATGTTTTATACATTCCATATGTTGACATATAGATCCATGTAGTACCAAAAAGGGAAAGGGTGACAATGGTTTTCATGTATCGAAATCGACAATTAAATTATCTATCTCGACAATTATTAAATGTCGAGTTCGACAGTTAAAATGTCTAATTCGACGGTTTTGAAAATACTATTCGACAGTTGAACTGCCATAATTTTCAAAAAAACTTAAAAACATGTGTTTGATTGTTTGGAAAAAATTATTGAAAACATTAATGGTGATAATCACTTCTCAACTCAACATCAGAATATCTTCCCACAAATAAAGAAGGAATAATTCAATACTTCATTAAATATGAAACCCTTCACATTTTCTAGAAAAATTATATAAAAAATAAAATACATCAACAAATAAGATACTCAAAAAGTTCAATTAAATATGACCATGTTGTATTAAACATTTAAAGTAGTAAACTATGACGTGAAAAGATAATTTTTCTAGTGGCTCACATTTGAGATTGGGCAATAGCTTTCCCTTGTTGATGATGGAATAAAGATATTGAAGAAGAATGTAGGGTTGGTATTCATAGGTGTTTGTGCGTGTGTGTGTGTATGTGTGTTTTTTTTTTTTTTTTTTAAGTTTTCACCCATTTTTTTAACAATAAAAAATATTATACAATATAATATGAATATCTTGAATGTTTAAATTAAATAAAACAAATCATTACATCACACCATTAATTTCATTCAAATCAAACATTTATTGCTCCTAAAAAAGTACCACACGAGGGGTAAAATGGACGCTTCATAGAAAAAGTGACATTTTTGAAAGAAATTGGTGTAAATGAAATTTTTTTTTTGTGTATATTTTCAATTTTAGTGACATTTATGTAAATTCTCCTTTTAAGAATAATAGCATATTTAGCCCATATTTGAAGGTATTTTTTTGAGTAGAATGAATTTTTAAATGGTGAATTTTTTAATATAGGGTTAAAAGTGAAAAATTTTGATTTACATGAATAATATTTAGGGTCCGTTTGATTACAAAGGTGAAGAAACAAATAAATTCTATGTAAGTTAGAAAAGAAAAAATAACCAAAAGCATAAGAATGCATTTTCCATGAAATTGACAAAAAACATGCTTTAAGTGTTTGTACCTTGGAATTCAAACTCCATCTTCACTTTCGTATCGAACAACCAAAGTAGAAAAAGAATTCATCGGATGTGACATTTTCCATAGAATTCATTCCAATCAAACGTGCCCTTATTGTAAAAATATATAGTTGAAAATGAGTTTGATTTGAAATATAATTAATAGGAAGAGTCTTTTTAGGCAATGTTATCAGAACCAATCAAATTGGAGCTAGCCATGGAGACTGGTCAATTACATTTAGGGTTAGGCATGGTCCGGTTCGATTTGATTTTAACAAGAATCGAACCAAACCCGAAATTTTCGATTATTTAATAAATGGAACCATCGAGTTCAAATTTAATTATTGAATCATTTGGGTTCGGTTCCATACGGTTCATTCTGTACTATAATTAATTTTTTTAATATTTATAAAGTTACATTAATTTTACGGATGACATGTTCAATCTTAACTTTTACAAAATAACACAATCCAATTTTATGTGTTTTTGCATCATTCTTTACTGAGTTCTTTATAGTTTTGATTGTTAATCACAAGAAGAGGAAGATAATGTGCTCACAATAATCAATAGAGACACTGTCGAGTTTCAATTCGATTTCTTCAAAATGGTAGAAACAACACTACGGTAGAATAACAGATTTGGGTAAAAGTTAGGTCAATTTGATTAAGTTAGACTTGAACTGAAAATTAGAAATAGGAAAATCACATTTATAGATTTGAGCTAAATTAACTAGTTAGAAAATTTATTTAGAAAAATAAAATAATTTGACTTATATAAAATAAATAAATTTAAAAAATTAGTAAAATTTGGTTCTTATTCGGTTCGGTTACTGACTAGAACCGAGAACCAAACTAAATCTATTGATTCTCGATTCAGATACCCTTTAACTTAAGAAGAATTGCTCAATTCGGGTTCGATTCAATTCAGCTCGGTTTGGAAGTTTTGTCCAGCCCTAGTTACACATGAATAAGCTTGGGGTTAAAAATTACGTAAAAATTTTCAGTTTAGTCGGAACCAGTAAAATGGACATGATTTCGACATTTTTTCTAGTATAACTATGGTATCTCTTTTGACCTTCAATAAAAATCTTTGGTTCAACTATGCCATTTTTCTTGTTCGACTACGGCTTTTTTATCAAACCTTTAGTAAAAAGTTTTAAGCATTTTTTATTTTTTTCGTCCACTATGGCTTCTCTTCAAACTCAGGCAAGGTTCTTCTATCCATACTTTCTTATCTTCATTTTTCTTCTTTGAATCTTCCCCATACTGCTTCACAATTTTCTCCCTGTATTTTTCCTTTTTTCTCTCCAATGTAAGATTTATGGCTTAAAAAATTGATTCTTGCTGTTAATACGTGGGTCCTGTGCAATTAATTATATTTTGTTGAACAGTTTCGGAATATGATTGCAAGTCACCCGCCAACTAATTTGTGTTTTTTCTTCCGTTTACATTTAGCACTTTCGTCCAATTGTCAAGGGATTTTTTATTTTTTTTCTCCCAATCAGAGGTAGTTTTTTCTTTGAAGAAGGCAAGTGATGGTGTATTTGGAAATTCACTATTGTGTATAACATGCATGATGGTCGAATTCTGCAATGGCAGATTCTCTGCAAGAAATAATTTATTTTAAAATCCTTTTGGATAGTATCAAACTTTGATAAAAATCTAATTTTAATTAAGACCAAACGGGGGTTTAATTTTTTTATAAATGAGATATTAATAAATATATGTACATTATATACACATATTTGGACATATATGCGTGTTTAAAGAGAGTGCATTTGGTTGTCGATTAAGAAATGTGAATGGGGTTTGTGAGAGAAAGAATTGTCTTCTTAATTTATTATTTAAAAATGATTCGATGTCTACTGCCCAATATTAAACAATTTAATAAAATAACGAGCAATGTCTTAAGTACAATTTTTATTTTTTTTTACAAAATTGGTATAGAAAGATAATCGTCTTCGTATAATTGGCTGTTGCCAAAAACTCTTCGTATAATTGTCTGTTGTCAAAAACAGTTTTTGACAATAGCAAATAATAGGAAGACAGTTGTCTTGTTTAGGCCAATTTAAAAAATATTGCATTTAGGTTATGGAATATTTTAATAGTCATGCCATGTCTACAAAATAAATAGACACTATATCGAAGAACAATTAAGGGGCTTTTCTTTTTTTTTTCCCCTATTTTTTGGGTTATCCTTACACATAAAACCTTGGAGTTTTTAGTTCTCGAGAACACTACAGATGGCTGAAGTGATTTAAAATGGAATCAAGAAAAACAATGCTAATGAATCTTTGTAAAGTACACTAAAAGGGTAATTTCAAAACATCTACATGTTTTTATTTTAACAAAATTATTATATATGTTGTTGTCGATACACAAAAATATTAAATCTGATTTTCACTCAATATCATTATGGACAATTAAGTCCTGCTTGGTATTTTTTGAGAATAGATTTTGTGAAGAATGATTTTTTGGTGAATATGTGGTTAAAAAGTAAGGAAAAAAATGAATTTACGTGTAAAATTATTTTATTAGGAGAATATGTAATTGAAAAAAAATTTTATATAATCGGCGCACTTTGATTTTGTGCATCCCATGAGCAGTGCCCTCATCGTAAGGGCTCATAGGATAGCTTTTCACTTGTCCAAAATCAGTTTAATTAATTCAGTGAAAATCTATGCAAATATTAAAGTAGTAAATTCAAGACAACAAAAGATATTTAGCAGTCTCAATGTGTTTAGAAAAGCTCAAAAACGACAAAAAAAAATAAAAAAAAATTAAACCTTATTCTCAATAATTCGGATAGACTATATGGAATCCCTTTTACCATTTCATTAGAGACTTACAGAAAGATCCAAATCAGCAGAATGCATGGATAAAACTTGCCCAGGCGGCTAATGAAGTTAGGCATTCATTGAAAATGTCATTCCCATTATAGAATATGATAAGATTTATGACTTTTCAAGCATACTGAATAAGGAGTGATTATCTGTCAAGAAAATTAAGCAGACATTGATGGATTAAAATTCAAACAATGACGCATTCTCTTCAAACCCTCTATAAAAGAGGGAATCAACGACATAATTTGATAGCTTATTCTTATATCCTAGATTTCACAGGTCCTTTTCTCTTTCCCTCTTAACTAGAGCATGCTTACTGCATAGTTCTAGATTGGATTACAAAGTATAACAAATGAGATTTTAGCTTCTTTTTTTCATTAATATTGTTCGGTACAATCTTATCTCCCTTACCAAACATGCCATTTAGTTTATGAATTCAAAATTACGTGCCTAGCAGCATAATCAGCAGATTATGAATTCAAATATATGTCACATGCCTAGCACCATAATCGGCAGATTATGAATTCAAATATTACGTGCTTAGTCCTGATATTATTTTGTATGAGCACTTCTCAATAATTTGTGTAATAATAGGCTTATTTTCCATATACTCCAAGAGCAATTTTTTCGTAAACCTTTAACAGACCACCAGTAATTTTATGTTAATTATGATACAGTGGCTCAGACAGGGGTTTGTTATGGAAGGAACGGGAATGGATTGCCACCTCAAGCAGAAGTCATCGCGCTATACAACCAGAATAACATCCGAAGAATGAGAATCTACGACCCAGATCAGGCTACTCTTCAGGCTCTTAGAGGCTCCAACATTGAGCTCATATTAGGTGTCCCAAACGATAACCTTCAGAACCTTGCTGCTAGCCAAAATAATGCAAATACTTGGGTTCAAAACAATGTAAGAAACTATCCTAATGTCAGGTTTAGATACATTGCAGTTGGAAATGAAGTGAGTCCATTGAAATCGGACACATCTCAGTATGTACCATTTGTCCTCCCTGCCATGAGAAATATTCAAACTGCAATTTCAGCAGCTGGACTTGGGAACCAGATTAAGGTTTCTACTTCCATTGAAACTGGTATGATCGAAAATTCTTATCCTCCATCAAATGGTGTATTTCGAGCTCAAGTTCGAGACTATATTCAAGGGATCATTCAGTTCTTGGTAAACAACAGAGCCCCTCTACTTGTCAACATATACCCCTATTTTGCACGCACTGGTAATCCGCAACAGATTACTCTCGAGTATGCTCTTTTTACGTCAGATGGAATCGTAACGCCTGATGGAACGCGGTACCAAAATCTTTTCTACGCCTTATTAGATGCCATGTACGCAGCCCTTGAAAAGTCTGGTGGCTCATCTCTGGAAATTGTTGTATCCGAGAGTGGTTGGCCTTCGGCTGGAGGACAAGACGCGTCCATTGATAACGCAAGGACCTATAACACGAATTTGGTGCAACGTGTAAAGACAGGAACCCCAAAGAGGCCTGGAAGAGCAATAGAAACTTACATTTTTGCTATGTTTGATGAAGATCAGAAGAGCCCCGAGTATGAGAAATTTTTCGGGCTCTTTCGACCAAACAAACAAGCTAAGTACCCAATCAGCTTTAACTAATTCTAGATAACAAGTGTATCAATAAGGAGGATAATACTCTAGATCTGGGACTTACAAGTTCTAAATAAGAACTCCTCCAGTTTATTTGACAAGCAATAAAGAGCAGCATGAATAGTCAACTACGATGGCAATAAAGAAGGAATTGAATCAACAGTGAGCTACTTTCTATTCTGTTTATGTTTTTTCTTTTTTTCTTTTTTTTTTATTTTTTTTTTTTTGAATCCGTAAACAGACCAAAGGACTGCTGCAACAGATTCTATTGAAAGGATATTAAACTTCATAAATGAATAAAGATACTTTCATTTAATCGTGTGGTTAAAAAATGAATTAAACTATATGTACTGAATCTTGATGACCGAATCGATGCCCTACTCTCACATGCGCGTGGGCCCCACACACATTTAAAAATTCCGAACTATGGACCCCGCCCTCTTATTGTGAGTGTAGGTAAAATATTAGGTAAGAAAGTGAATGTAAGTGTAACATGGTCCTTAAAAAATACTCATTTGACTATTAAAGAACAGATGTGGGCTCTAAGGTGCGTTTACAACTTCATTGTCCTTTAAAATGTTAACTGGCTATCGCAAGTTGTGGTGTACAAAAGTTGATAAAATATGTGTTTGAAAAATTGTGGATCGTATGAAATGTGCAGTTAAAATTAATTGTTAAATTTAATTCTAACTGTCAGCTGGTTGTTAAGGTGACAGCTTCAAGCCTAATTTCTGGTGGCACATCCCTTACACAAACCACCTTACTCTTGAGTTGTCAATTGCGAAGTAGTACCGTGAGGAATTTAATTAACTTTTTAACTATGGGCTATATATATATTTGTGACTTTGAAAGTGAGGTAACCTGTCCTGATGTCTTTTCTACGAAGACATCATTTTTTCTAGGTCTTTTTGTCTCCTAAAGAGAATTCTATTATCAACTCATGATCTAGGTTAACAATTATTTACATAGTAAGTATGAAGGAATCAGTTTCTTTTATATATATATATATATACTTTTTTTTTTTTTTTTTAAAGATCATTTAAATAGACCAAATGTTGAAGGATAAATACTCCAGTTAAGTGCTTTAAGACCCGTAGGAGAGATTTGAACCCTTAGTAAACAAACAAAATCCTACATAACAACTCAATGCTATGTCTCAAATCACTCTTATCATTTATTTTGTATAGTCCTATTTGGCAAAGATTAAAATAAGATTTATAGTAGATTTTGATAAAAGTTAATGAAATGTATAGTTAAAAAGTTTTGAATCTCATGAAATATGTGATTAAAATTAATTATTGATTTTGATTTTTATAAAAAGTTATATTTATATATATTTTACGCATGATTTCATCTAATTCAAGATAACTCTCTACTTAATTCCTCAAACTATTGGTTAGTAAACAATAAGGTCATTGGACTAGACCAATAACTAATAAGGTCATTAAACTTTAATAATAGTATACAAAGTCCTAAATTTAA